CTATTATATAGGTTTGATTGTGAGTTGTAGATATGTATAAAAATTTAATTCATATTCTCTTATGGTCTCTTATTATATCATGTAGATATGTATGTTATTCAGTATACAATACAAAATCATAATGTTATACTTATATGAATTTAATGTAGACACACTTATAAAGATTGGAATGCATAGTTAAAGGTTATAGGGTTAATATAAGGTGACAAAATAAGTGTCAAATGTTAAAAGAGTGAAAATTGTTGATGATAGTTTAGATTTTTGTTTCAAAATAACAAAAAAAAATTTCTTTGTAAGTTCTTTTAAAAGAAATAGGTTATTAAGAAAATTTTAATGTCAAATTTTAAAGGCACATAACCTTAACTATATTTAAAAATTGAAAAACTAAAATTTAATATTAAATTTAGTTAAGAAAAAAACTTAAATTCTAATAAAATCGCAGGCTATTCAAATGATATTCGAATGCGTTGAAGATTTTTGAATACTCTTTTATACAAAATGTCTCCTTTAAGTGTTAAATTTTTCCCCTAGGTTCAAATACAAATTTTCATCAGATTATTGGATTATTTTAAAGTGCTTTCTCTTGTAACAGTAGCAATTTATAATCAATTTTGAATAGTCATACGAAATAGACTAATGTAGAGCAGATAATAGAGTAATTGGTATAGAAAACTATTCAAAGGTCCACAGTATTGAATGAGCTCAATGAAAAACTTGTTAAGAAAATTATTTTGGGCTTTCAAAATTTTTCATGAGTAATATAATTTTTTTTTTGTTTAATTTTAATCAAATCAATATTTTCTGAATCAGAACATTTCCGAAATTTTCAAAAGAAACTTTTTCAATAGCATCCGTCCTTGGGAAAAGAAAGAAAAAATTTTGGTGGTGTTCGCATTGCTCATTATGGAATTATTGTAAGGTCAGACGGACAGAGGGCATGTCTAAATTAATCCAGAATTTTACGTTGAGCAAGAATTTATATATAGAAATTCATACTGCAGACGATTATTTTAAGTGATTAGATACTTGATACCAATGTTAGTTTATTCTTCACTAAAACGTTCTATATATAGACACTGCTGTAATTATTGCATACTTTTCGGATAAGATCAAAATTAAAAGAAATCATTTCAATCATATATCAAACTGTTAATTAATACCTATAGATATTGCTAAAATTTCAGACAGGTTTAATTTATCATATAAGAGAAAAAATTTAAAATGATAGAAATTTGAAAAATGGCGAATAACCTCAACGGTCATGTCATTCTTCTAGCACTTGCCTGTTTACACTGTTTCTCTTTAGTAGAATCAAGTAGTTATTTTTTTGCGTTTTTTATGATTTTGACATACTAAACTGTGAAAAGATTGAATTTTTAAAGTTTTGACGAACCGTACTATACTTCTTAACATACAGGGAGGGACAAATCAAGATTCTGAGACTTCGGTTATTATTGATCAAATGTGTTATCTATAAAAGTTTCTCCCGTTACCGTTATGGCGCTTTGAAATATTACAAAGGTTGTTATTTTTTTAGATGAAATTTATATAATTTTGCCTAGGTGTACACCTAATATTAGGCTGTTGTTGTACATAATGATTACCAAAGACAGCTACGAGAGTAATAACATTGAGTTCATTTTTGAATTGCCTGGTCAAATGCTTGATATGCAAACCACAATCTGATTATAATACAGAAGTCTCACATATTTTCTTGTTTCAGTTCTTCTATAGTAATTTTGTTGCTCAGAAATCGATTCTAGTTTTGGGGTAGTAGCAAAGTATTCCCAGAGGCATATGACGTATTTTCGCCACTTTTTAATTTTAAATAAAATTTAAAAAATTTTTTTATAAAGATATTTAAAATTAAATGTTTTAGTTGAAAATATTAAATTGATTAAAAAATTTATTAAAATTTTTTTTTTGTAAAAAATTTTCTGAAAATTTTAATTAGTTATTGTGAATATTAATGACTGATATGCACTTCAATACTCGTACAATTGTATTTGTTTGCATGAATTGAATTTATATTTTCTATAGCAAATAAAAATTTGAAATTTTTTCTATAATATTGCAATAAATTTTTTCTATAGAAACAACCATATAGCTAATTATTTGAAACTCCTTTTAATGTATTTAATTACTGTGTGCTATATTCATTATTATTATTGTAATCCCCATTTATGTAATTTATTGATAACACTATAATAAATCTTAAAGAGAAATACTTGTATGAATGGCAGTATGTGTACGTACATGATAGCATTATAAATTGGCATATTGGATTTTTTTTTTAGTCTCCAATAATATTTTATTAAACATGAATAATACATATAAATAAAAAAATTTGATTAAAATAATTTTGTCACGTTCTAAATAAGAGAATGTATAATATTCAAATCAAAATTACACGTCGCAATTTAATGAATCAGGGAGAGAGAATTATAAAGGTTAGAAAATAAAGTCAAAAAAGTCAGTGGTGGCTGACTATATTGCTTTCTAATCTAACATTTTTTGTTTCATTATATTATTGGGAAGAGAAATGAAGAGAGTTCTCTGATATTTATATTTTTATAATTATTGAAAAACAATATAATAATTTACTATGATCTCTTATTATAAAAAGTTTGGGGATATTCAAAAGAATGATAGAATGATAGAGATGATAGTAGCCATTTGCTTTTTACATACAATTTGAATGTTACGCACGACTACAATTCAAGTGATTAATTGAAATGTTTCAATTTTTTGTAATACTTTCTGAATATCACCAATGGTACGCTCAATATTGCATTTGGAAGTGTCAAATCTAATTCGGCAATCGCTAAATGTTCTCCGACTGCATTTTTTTTAAATATTTTTTGAATTAATTAAAGCAAATGTTCGAGCGCCAGTCTTCACTGATAAAATTGTATTCCTGTAGGCGCTATACTTTTTTAAATTTTACTGTGTCTTCTCTTCTTTATACGAGTATTTAATGTTTTTTTTTTGGAACAACACTGAATTTTATATTTTTGGTATAATAAATTATGCCAGCTTATACAAAACCAATAAATTTTCCATGTTTGAATGAATAGCAATATCGATTGAATACTAATTGAAACTATATAGAAAAAGAAAAAGAAACACAAAACGAAATGTAAAATAAAATAAAATTATTCAGGATAATTATAAAAATAAAAAGAAAACGAACAAAAAAAAATGTAATAATTTTATATCCTTGCGGCATTTTTATCAATTTGTAATTTTTTTTTTCTTTTAATTTTTCTTAAAAATTTATTACCGGAAAAATGAGTTTAAATAAGTTAAATTTAATTTTTCAACTAAACATAAAGCTGGAATCCTAAAAGGAACAGTTAAAATATAAAAAATTTATTGGAACGTTTTAAATTTCAACGAGAAATTAAAGAATGTTATAAAATACTAACTAATTAAATTTAATATTTGCAATGTAAATGAAATTTTATGATTAAAATGTTGAAATTTTATACTAAAGTCAACGTAAAACGAAATCATAAAAATAATAATTTGAAATTTAATAAAATATAAAAATAATTAAATTAATGTCTCTGTGTAATTATTGTAATTTAAAAATAATTGCTTAAATCAACAACTTAACATAATTCTGGTTTACATTGAAGGAAAAGAAAAAGGAAATTTTTGCCACAGGAATGTTATATTCGAAGTATTTTTATTGTGCTTTGCGACATCTAATGACAGTTTTTGAAAATATAATAACTCTTTAGTGCAAATTGTATTTCAAACATTTAGAGAACTTGAAATTTTGAAAAGCAACACATTTTTTAATAATTGAAGGTGATTTTAACGATATTTGTACTTTAAATTTTGGGCTATACTTTGGAGCCGATCTTTTGATCATATACAAAAAATTTTATCCCTTGAGATATTGAGTCTTTATGATAATAGTCGAGCTTAAATATTGTTGATCTCTTTTTCCTCAAAATTATATGAAATATTTAAGTGGTATTTTGGGCATGTTATCAATTGTACCATAGAAATAAATGTCGTAAGAAAATATTGTCGAATATTCCCTCTAAAGTATACGCATCTCAATAATAAATGCATCATACGAATTTATATGAACTATTGAACCACTTACATTATTGTGATTCTTTTTCTGTTACTGTAAATAAATTGAATAAATTTTTTCGTGATTACATTAAAAATTAAACAAATTTTACAAAAACATTTTCAAAATTTTTAAATTCTTGATAATGTGACTGCGCTGGATAGTTTTTTAGTTCATGCTTTAGAGCAATTTAAGGCCAGTATACGAACTTGAATGATGCTGTGTAGTACATATTTTGTGAGCTATATACATATATTATGAATTATATATGTACATACACATTGTCAAAGTCTATTTCAATTTCAAATTAAGAGAAAAGTAATCATGTGGCAGCGATAAATGAGCACAATCTTTTTTGCGCTTTGTGGGAGGAATTTAAAATTTACGACATTTTCGATGTGATTCTGATTTATTACGTGTATTCCTTGAAAGTAAAATGGCACTCATATGTCTTTAGTCTATATTTATAGTTTAAAATAAAATACTTAATATATTTTATTTGGAACTTGTTGTTGGGGTATCAAATGTATCCTGAATGCTGGTAATAAGTAAAATTAAATAGTGGAAAAAAACAATTATTGTAGGTTTGTAATTGTTCATTTGTGATATTTAATTAGAAAAAGTAATGAAATTTAATGGTATACAAAGAATTTTTAAAATTAATTTATGTAAGTATAAAATGAACCCAAAATCGAATTTGTTTTTTTTTTATTCTTTCTATACCCTGACAGCTTTAAACATTATATTCTTTTATAGTTTTCAATTTATATTTTTCAGATATGCAACTTTTATCTCATGCAATTAATTTTCTCCTTAAAAATTTCCAATTTTCTTAAATTATTTTCAATTTTATTTTAAAATGAAAATTTTTTTAATTTTTAATTTTTTCTATAATTATTATTTTTCTCAGAATTTACATCGAAAATCAATAGACGAAGCAAGTCTGAAGAAACTTTTACTTTATGAAAATGAACAGAGTAAAAATGTAGTGTCGGTAAGTTTCCAAAAAAAAAAAAAACAAAAAAAAACAAAAGATGATATTGAGATGCAATATATTTGAAGTGCACATACATACATATATCGTTTTTGTTTCACTTCAAAAGTAATTAAAAAAAGCACAAAAATTTAAAATAATTGAAAAAGTTTCATTCACAATTACAAAAAAATTTCTCATTTTCAAAATGCAAAGATCACTTCAACACGTAAAAAAATTCATTATGAAATTTGTAATATCTTTAAATTTTGTAAAGAAATTTCTCATGTATGTATGTAACAATAATATGTAATATACAAATAATTGGAAAATTATTTAAAATTCATTTATAACACGCAGAATTCAATTATGTGTGCTTTCTTTTATGATTTGAAGTGATTTTCATTTTTAGTTTCCATAAATTTTCAAATTTAATTAAATCAATATTATCAACTATGTAACGATCTAAAAACCCGCCTGATTCATAATGCAATAATGTAGTTTTCAATTTAAAATGATTTTGGGGTATTTGGAATGGTAATATCAATTAAATCTCTCACTTGTTTAGTTGTAGCATAACAAAAAATATGCCCAAATGCAAACGTGTTTATAGAGAAAGCGTCGTAATAAAATGTAAAAAATTGTAATGTATTTGAAGATTAAGTTCGTTTTTGTTAATACAAAATATTATTGGTGTACTAATCTAAAGTATCATGCAAATAAGCAATAAAAATTCAAAGGAGTAAGACACATTTATTATTATTTTAAGTGATTTTTACAGTATAATACAATAATGTATTTCAAAGTATAATGTACAGTGCACAAATAAAAATTTTAATATTTTTCACTTTGGGCTTACTGCAGGAAACATCATCGTAATATTTATAAGCAACACTTTAAAAATATAAGCGAATCGCTGAATGCAGATATTCAATTTTGTAATTTGGGAATATTGCTTCTTAGAAACCATTCTTAATTTTTTTGCAGAATAAGAGAGATTTTAAAGAGATTTCAAAATCAAGAAAATTATTCTCATTTTCGTCAATTCGGATTAGCGGTTAAATTCGTTTTGTATAACACCTTAAGTACAATTTTAAAGTATAAATTATTAATGTCCTATGAAATTATTTATACCGATAATAAATCTGTGCTAAATATAAATAAGGGTATATATTTCATTAGCATAAGTAAGCTTTTAAATAAAATATATTTTGAAATAGTAGATTTTGAATAAAATAATATATTGATGAATGACAATGTGGTGATGTTGAATTTGAAAGCATCATCGAATATTATTTAAAACAAATAAGAACAATAAAATTTAAACTAAGTAAAATAATATGTGAAATTAAATATTTTAATGTCTTAAAGCAATACAAAATTTTTAACAAGCTGACGCTAACACTGTACTTATGATCGTAATAATTTGAAATAAATATTTGAAATAATTGTATCCTAATATGTAGTCAAACTTTTATAACACGAATCACGATTCTGTAACAAGATCCGTTCATCTTACAAAGAATTCTTGTTATGCGGTACAAATAAGAAAAGGCAATAAAGCAATTCGTATTAAGGAGAATTACGTCTTCCTCAAACTGGTGTTACATGGATTTGACTTAAATAAGGTGCAAAATTTAATCAGCAATATTGCTAACAATTTGAAGCTTGATGTTGCTATTAATTATTTGATCAAGTTAACTAAGCAAGCGTTACAAGCAAAATATGAATTTTAATTTAAGTGTATTAATATGTCATTGCTTTAAATTTATAATTACGATTAGAGGAAAATGGTGTTATATCGACTAGAAAAGTAATGTCTCGCATCATAATTTTGGGATAATTTCTTATTTTTGCAAAAATGTAGACACTTAAGTAAACTAATATATGTAAAATACAGTTTTAGTCAAAATACAATTCCAGTCGTACTAGACCATACCCCCTATATAAAATCTTAACAGTTCTAATAGATATACTAAGATAAATTTTACCATCAGTGATGTTGTTACTCAGACTGTTTAGTCTAAAAGTATTGATTTCAGTCGTCCATTAAATAAATATTGCATAAGTTCATCGCATTCTTTCCACAAGTATATTTTTACCGACCGTATTGTAAATACAATAGGTATTCACAATACGGATTGATCAACTTTTGGGATAGATCAGGCCTCGGGAACTGCACTTTTTAGCGGGACTCTTTCACGTTTTTGATCATTTTGAGAAACATATTTAACCGATTTACTTGAAATTTGAAAAAATCAGGTGTCAGAAATTGGACGTTTACTATGGGCCAAATATACATTTTTGCGTATATAAAGAGAAAAAATCAACCGATTTCATCGAAATTTAATATTTAAATTTTTCGTATTAAAACAATGAACATATAAATTTTTTGAAAAGATCAGGGCTCTAAAACTGATCTGAAGGCCGATTTTACATTTTTTACCATATCTACGGAGTGAATTGATAGAATTTCTCGAAATTTGATATTTGAGTTCTGGTTGTTATCGAAACTAACTGGCGAGCATTTCAGAAAATTCGGGTAGCACAAAACGAAACTCTACTATTAGCCAAATTTACCTTTTTCTAGGTATGTTAACTATAAGCTTGCTAATGTCCTAAAAATTGGAAAGAAGTATTTAACAGTCATTTTTATAATATTTCGCAATACTTTCACTTTACTAGACAATACACATTGCGGTCGGTTATGTGTTGACTACATCAGATTTTTTACTATATGAGTACACCCGCATTTAAGGTTGTTTAGTCCAAAAATATTGATTTAAAGATAACACATTCAATTCAAATTTACTTTAAATCTTAGAAATAGATTTAAAAATTATTGTATGAAATGGGTTTTTTTTAAAGTGGTATATGTCCATTTCTTCATATATTTAGATATTTAAGGGCTTGCGTTTGAATCAATTTAAAAATATTGGCCATAATAAAATAATTTGTTTATTTTATGTTTAAATAGAACTCTATTCAATTGTGATTGTAAATAGTGGGGAGAAGGTGTCTATAACTCATCAAAATTACCATTAACTTAGTCTTATAAAAAATTGAACTTATTCCACTTCCTTACATTTATTTTACATTATAAAAACAACAAACAAATAACACACATACACAATAATTATTGTTAACATTGAAATTTAAAACTCCAATGCCTTGTAAATTTTATGCGTATTTTAATTAATATATAGTTAATATTTTATTCAAATTTCTGAATATTATTTAATATAGAATTTTACAAACTTATAAAATTTTTTATAAATTATAATGTGTAAGTAGGAATGCCGTATGATTAAAGAACAATATTCTTTATTCTATTCATAATAAAAAAAAAATTCATTCAATGGAACGGGATGTAGAAAAAAAACAAATTAATAAAAAAAATAGTATAACAATAAAAAAAACACAAGTAAAATAGAAAACAAAAACAAAATTAAGAACAACACTTAAAATAATAAAAAATTAATATCCTAAGAGTATTTTATTACCTGCATTAATCCTTATTAATAAAATATCCTGCATGTTTATTGTTTTTGATTTTTCTTTTCTTTTCCTTTCTGTTTAAAAATTTTTTTTTGTTCTCTTATAATTTCTAAGGCTACATAATACTTATAATGGGTTAAACAAAATTATACTAATTTACAGTACTACTTATCATTATTATTTTTATTTTCCTGTATACAATAATGTTCCTGTTTTTACGAATGACGTATACAATAAGAACAGAATAGGAAAATTAACAGCAGCAACAGTAGTAAAATGTAAAATAAGGCAATGAAAATGAAAACAAATAACAAATAGAATTGTACTATTTGATATCCTTTTTTGCCTTAACTTATACTATATAATATTGCTATGTATATATAGAAATATATTCTTAATGTTAATATTATTAATTTATTAAAGCTACAAAAAATGTATATATTATAATGATTATTTGTATATATATATACACATACATATATATATTTAGTAAAACAAAAAAAAAAATTTTTATACCACATGAATGGCATAAAAATTACCGGTGACTACCATTAAATTTATTGTAATTTATTTTGATGCAATCATTATTATTAATATATGCAATATGTGTAGCACATATATGTGTAGATGTAATTATATATTGTATGTCGTATACTATTTTACCATATTATCACTGAAAGCGCAATCAGATTTTAAAATAGAATTTTTAAGTGTACTGCACTCAAAAGAGTATGCAATTAAATCGCAATAATTATTAATGGTTTTACATATAATATTATGAAAATATTATGAAGGCCGAAAAATTTGTAACTATAATTGTATAATACAGTCTATAATAAAATATCTAACTGGAATATAAATTTTAATAAAATTTCAAAACAATTTCTTGTTTTCTTTTACATTTAAGTAGGCAATAAAATGAAATAATTTGCCTATAAGTATGCTATAATTTAAAAAATAAAAACAATCTGTATTATCTACCTAATTACTTGTTATGTAAGTAATTAAATTAAATAGCTACTGTGATTACTGTGATGAAGACCTGCTTCTATTCGGACGGGTATAATGACTTCGTGTTGTGAAACATTTTAAGTAGTTTTTGGCATTGAACCTGTTATTTATTTGAAACTAACTACTTATTTGGCCAAAAAGTAAGATAAACTTGTTCAACAAGAGCATGCGGTACAGAAATTTTTCATCCGTTCAAGTGACACAAAATTCTGGCTATAAGTTGAGTGGAATTTTTCTGTAATTGAACGAATAAAACATACAGGAATTGTTAACTACATCTATTATATTCTATTATTAATTTACAAATCTTCTAGTTCAAAGATTACACGACCAGGTTTTACTTATAAAAATCTAACTGAAATTAATGATTTTGGATAAAAGTTTAGAATACTTTCAAAAATTTTAAGGTTATATAAACATAGGCGAGAGTTCTTTATTTATTTAAAAATAGGCAATATATTTGAGTCATTTAATAAAATCTTGTGTATATAACAATAAAAATATTTGTAAGT